CCGCCACTTCCACACGCTGCCATGCTAGTGCTGGAAGTAATTCAGCTAAATTGCTTCCTCTGGCTCCCCACTCTCAATTGACTCGTCTCCACAGGGAGCTCTAAATGGGGCCCACAGGGCACTGCCTAGCCTGAAAAATCCCTCTTAACCCTGGTTTGGCAGAAACCATCAAGGCAAACACAGCTCCACTCTCTGCTGGAGTAAATGATGCCCAGTTGTAACAAGCCATGACCCTAAAAAGAAGAAATGAGCATCCCTGCAGTATGTGGTCACCTTCGCTGACTAAACCACCTTCTTCCTGAGCTGTTCTGTGTGCTGTGCATGCGGGGAGGGCTGCTTGCTTCTGTTGTGCAGCCGGTGCTGCAATTGCTACAGTAATTTTTCAAGGGAGGTAGGTGCTGAGAAAACAAACAATCCACCTTTTTGACTTTTCTGTGATAACCTAGTTAATTCGCATTGCTCAGTGTTGGCAGTCAGGTCTTTTTTTTTCCTGAACAGAGAGGAAATATTTTGTCATCACTCGTATGATTCATAATTTGATGTATCCCTATAAGAACTTTAATGATTATTTACATTGCATTACAAACCACACAGCTTGTAAGATGATATATAAAGTGTATTTTCTCGCTCTGAAATTTGTGATTTACCAATGGCACTGTTTTACTAGGAAAAGATTGTTGTTTCTGTCCCAGTCTTTAATTCTTTTCACTTCTTTCTAGCACTTAAGTCAGCTATGGCAGGTAGTTTCAAACAGGCAGGTTCTTGGCATCGATCTGTGAGAGCTGCCCCTTGTCCCCGGTAAATGAGGCTTCCTCTAGCCTGGGTGATCCTGGGGACAGGGCTGCTTTGTCCCGGAGCTCTGTGATCCCTGTGGGGTTATGCCTGCTGCAGGGAGACCTGTGTAAGGAAGAGCGAGCTCAGAGGAGAACGGAGTCTGTTTCCGAGGTGTTTGAGGCGGAGCTGGAGGTATCTTTATGCTGTTTCATATCCTTTACTGCCGACGGGCTTTTCTTAATTATGATTGTCTGAAAGTCCCTGTGGTCTTTCTTTAGGTTGCTTTGTTATCCATAGCTTTCTCATTTTCTGTAGCAAGCTGATATGTGACAGCTTTGGCGCTAGCTCTGTAGTTGATTCCTCAGTGGAAATAACATGAAACAAGAGATTAGGGCCACAGGGAACAGGCTTCTGCCAGCTGCCCAGCTGCAGAGCCAAAGCAGCTACAGGGATCACCATTTCCCACCACTGACTGGGAGACTGGATCTCCTACCTCGGCGGGAGAGAGCTCATTCCTGTAGGGTTTGGTGTCTGATGAACGTGGAAAAGGAGGAAGAGCAGAGGCAAAGGGGTCTTGCACCTGAAAACTGCTACCCTAACAGTCTCCTTCTGGCAGCGGATGCAAGCGGCCACTTCCATGCTGGCTCTAGAGGCTTCCCTACATCTGTGTTACCCTTTGGGAATGACTGCCTGGGATTTTCTTCCCTATCCGCACTGGCAAATGGAAATTTGTTTTGGGATCAAAGGTCGTGAGCCCAAAATTGAAACATTCACCACCGGGCTGCCGCATGCTGAGGCCGGCATCCTGCGGCTGAAGGCGCTCAGCGTTTCCTCCCCTGTGTTACGTGATTGTTCCCTACGAGATCTCTTCCTTTCTTTAATGCTCTTTGGCTTGCTGCTGGGTGGCTCCTGATACGCCCAAAGAGTTTCTGTTAGAAAATGCAAAAAAAGCCTCTTTATCTCAGAAATGCCACCTGGGGAAGGTGTCAGGAGCCAGGCTTAGTCTCTCAGTGCTCCGAATCAGTGGGCTCTCAGCTGCCATCTTTTACCTTAAGGCACCCTAGATGTTTGCACACATTGCAAACCCTCGGCAGCTGAGGCCAGCTGTGTTCCAGATGAGTTAGAGCTCAGAATTTACAGATTTTTCTACTGATCCTCTCACTGGCACTTTGAATCAAAGCATCTGAAAGGTGGTAGTACATTTCTTATCAGTCAGGGTAAATACCCCCCTAAGAAGCATAATCTCGACAGAGCTCACATCCAGCATTAGCAGGATGCTTGCTCATCATTCAGGTGCCCTGACAGAAGCTGTTCCACCGTTTACCTCATCCATGGCATGAAATAGATAGTCTGGGATGAGATGGCCACTTTATCCTTAAGGCTGTCACAGATGTTCGTTCTTAGAGACTGGAGCCTTCCCCTTGGTCTCCGAACAATTCAGAACACTAAAACCAACGGAGAGCAGCTGATTGGGTATTCAGCAGACCCCTGCTAGCAGGGAAGAAGGAATTGTGGCAACTTACTCTATCCTACAGAAATGTTGGTTAACAGACCTTTTTCAGATCAGTTGTGCAAATACAGTCCAACATGCAAAGACTAACCTGTTCAGCCAGTGCAGCTTTGAGACTGTTAAGATCATGAGGGAAAAAAGCAAACAAACAAACCTGGAAGATGATACATGGATCATCACCATGAGAAAGAGACCTTATAAAGAAAGACTGTTGGGGAAAACAAGCACAAAACCGAGAAGCATTTCTTCCTCCTCCCCCACCCCCGGGGTTTTTGAATATTTTGTTTCTCCTTTCAAAGTTACAGAAATCTTACAAAGATAAAAAAACTATGGTTTCTGAAGCCCATTGGCACAGTCCAGTGATAATTGTACCTAGGTGGAATCAAAACAATCTGCACAACTCTATGAAGCTGTATATGGAGCTGCGAGTTGCTATCTGAAAAAACAACCTGTTTAAATGTAAAAATGAGCTCAATGATGAAGCATTTTTCAGCTGAGGTTTCATGAGCCCCATCATTTACGTTTAGCCCATTTTTGAACCCAGCGGCCCCTTTTGTACTGACCCTCCTACAGAGAGATTGACAGACTCTTTGTGGCGGCGTCAAGTTAGGAAATGCCAGAGCTGAGGTTGTCTGCGCAACCTCCATCTCCCCTCCCCATGTAGATGTGTTACAGTACGTGCTTTAATTCCATAATCCCACAGTTATTTTCCGCTGGCCCCCTGCCTGCCTCGGTGCGGAGGAGGCACAAAGCTGCCTTAATGAGCAGATGAGATTGGCTTGTTGTCATGTAGTGTGTGACCGTGGACCTTGTTCAAGCCCCACTCTCCAAGGCCTGCTCTGAAAAGACAGTGTTTCGGTTCCTGCTCAGCTGTTTTACAGCTTGTTCCACTCAAGTGTCACAGCCCTTCACAGTCACAACCCATGCACCCTGCAGAGGGTACTTAATGGTCGTAGCAAGTGTGCTAGGTGGACCTCTCGTGATAGCAAGTTCCCTGCAGGAACTGCAAACTCTTCTGGGGAGGGCGCATTGCATGGGGTAGACCCGACTGACCAGATTTAAGCTGCCTATTGTGACTATTTTTAGATTTGGCAAGGCTGCCATGTAATGAGACCAAGTTCTGACTTCCTGTCCTTTGGTAGTCTCCCCAAAAACACGAACTGTGGCCCTCCACAAGCCTTAATGCTCTATAGCATTGGGTGTATCTGCTCGCAGCTGTGTTACTGTGCCTTCAAGCTCAAGCTCTTCAGTGCCTGCCTGAAGCAGAGTACTCAGCTCACTGAAGGTAGGTACTTCATCAAATATAACAGGGCCTGCTGGCTGATATCACCACCACCTGCTGACATGCTACAATATTTCAGCAGGTTTTTAGGGTTTAGTTTATTTATTTATTTTTACATGGCTCTAAATAAAGACTTCAGTTTTCACCTCAAGTACATGAGCATCAGCAGATGGGCAAGAGCAGCAGCTCAGGTGGAACTAGCTCAGGAAAACCATAATCTCATGGGATTTTCCCCAGAACTGCTCTAGGAAACCATTGCCCTTGAACCCTACAGTGTGTGTTCTCAAATACTGGGCATCGTGTTTCACCCGGTGTGAAATTTTGATGAAATACTCTTTTTTAAAAAAAAAAAATAAAGATACAAAATCCCTCCCCTGAGATAATACCAAGGTGAAGGCAACCTTCAGTTGCCTTTGGCTGTGGTTTGGTTTTATGAATATGTATCTGCGGATGTGAACAATGGCTAAAACGGGCTAAAATTAAAATAAGGTGATTGCTGCTGTGGTTTCCCCTCAAACACCTTCATGCTCTCTTCCCTGCTATCCCGTAGCCTGTGGAGGAGGCGCCCGTAGTACTCTGCATTTTTCCTCCTTGGGCTCCCTCCTCTGAGCTCCGTGTGAGCCATGATGCCTGCGGGTGCCTCGGGCAGTAGCTTGGCAGCGGCGAGGGGCGACTCGTGCTGCTTCCAGTGCCCATTTCCCCTCCTGGGCACAACTGGGGCCTCCTGCCGGGCTGCCTCGGAGGGTCCTGGCCCGGGAACCTCCTCTTGTGCGTGGATGGAGCACCTGACACTTGAGGATTTGCTCCACTGCGGTCCAAACAATGGCTTTGCATCAGGGTTTTGTGCTATCCAAGGATTTTGCGATGGAAAATTAAGGACTGGTAATGCATCTGTGTCTCTGTTTAGTCAGGTGTATGTGTTTCACAGAATCACAGAATGGTTGAGGTTGGAAGGGACCTCTAGAGACCACCTAGTCTAACCCCCCTGCTCCAGCAGGGACACCTAGAGCACACGGCACAGGGTGGCATCCAGGTGGGTTTTGAAGATCTTCAGAGAAGGAGACTCCACAACCTCTCTGGGCAGCCTGTACCAGTGTCTGTTTGTTTGTTTTCTGCATATCTTTGATGCCACTGAATTTGTAACTTGACTTAACACACACTGCTTGAAGGATCAGCTGCCTCAGAAACTGCAGTGTTCAAAGTCTTTCAGCCCAAGTGTTGGAGGCCAGAGGCTGTGAACCGGCCGGGGCGAAGCTTCACATGCACCAGCGCAAGCATCTTCTGGGAGTTTTCTTCTTATTAGTTTTTAAGCAGAAGTAACTGTACATAAGAACAATTATGTACATGATAATATGGAAAAATCTGGCCTCGGATGTTACCAATAGCAATTGCAAAGCCCATCGTTTTCACACAGTAATTATTTCTTTGTTACAGATTGATGTCCTCAAGGCAGATGTGGAGAGTGCCGAGTGGAAAATTTTGGAAAACCTCATTCTGGAAGATGTCGTTGGGCAGATAGGACAGCTGGTCGTTGAGGTGCACATCCACTGGCCCGGCTTTGAGGTCAGTGGCAACGACAGTGCTGTGGTGCGGTACTGGTACAGTCTGCTCCGAGAACTGGAGCTGCAGGACTTCAGGCTTTTCCATACCTACAAAGACTTGTCAAAGCCACAGATGTTTCTGAAGAAGGAGGCCTTCAACGCCAGTAGCAGTTACACACTGAGCTGGGTAAATACCAGATGGAAATAGCAGAACGGATTTTTATGTTGTGTAGCTGTGTGCCATCGGGCCCAGCAGCATCGCTGAAGAGCACTTTGGACTCACTGGCTGAAGTGCTAAATATGCAAGAGATTGTGAACAAAATGGACTGGCTTTTATTCTCAAGTGTTCTCGAAGGAGCAGGCATTGGGAGAAGATACATATTGCAAATCTTTTTGTATAGCAATACACATGCCAGTGGGAAGGCGTTCTCAGAGCACGGGGCATCCTGCAAAGGCTTGTGTGAGGCTCTCAAGCTTGCCCTGTGTCTCACGTTGACTCGTGTCTCCCTCGAGCAGCGAGCCCCCTGTTCTGACCCGAGAGCTCTGCCCTGCAACCCGAGCCTGCCCTAGGGCGGCACATGCTGGCACCTGTTTTTAAAAATGCTCAGGAATAAGCTCCTTTTTTGGGAATGGTCAAGAGTGACATTTCCGTAAAGTGATCATGCTTTGACTTGCACTTTCTTTCATTTAACCCTGCTTCCTTACAAAGAAAGAACAAAATTCCTTTCTTCCTTTGTAAGAACAAATCTTACGCAAGAAGATTGTGACCCTTGAACTTGCTGGCAAATTTCAGATGAATTTCGCGGAGGTAGAAATCACCACCAGTCTGAAGTCCTGCATGTTTCATTAAGCTGTTCAGTCAAGCAGCCTCCAAGCGCTCTGACCTGAGGCCGTGGGGGCGCAGGCACCGCAGGACGTGAGTCGAGCGCTGCTCGCGCATAGGACGGGGGGACACGGGCGCTACCAAGCGGGAGACGCTGCCATTGGAGCAAGCCCTCCCCAGCCACCAGAGGACAGGGCTCCCCTGCACGCCTGCTCTTGGAGCTGCTTGTTTGAAACCACTCTTACCGTGGCTGCAGCAAGTGGTCCTTCTGCTAGAGAAGCAGTTACGTAAAGGAGCTGGGAAAGCTGGGCTCGTCCATGCGGCCGGTTTGGGGTGCAGCTGGGTGTTTTGCAATGTGCCTGTTCCAGGGCTGCCTCTGGATGCCTGCAAGCTCCTCAGCACAAAACTGCCCTGGCCCCGGTTGCTCTCCTGAACACCAGGAAGCTCCATCCCGGTGTCACCTAGGGGTGTCCTGTGTGGCACTGCAGGCCCCGTTGTGGGTTACGTGCAATGCAAGGGGAGAGCTTAGGGAGCTCGTGGGAGGAGCTGAAAAGCATATAGCAGGATCTTTTTTATGTTTTTTATAGAATTTTGCATTAAATCAGATCACACCATTCCCACACGTTTGATGTATGCACTTGGTATCTTCCTTTGGTTTCCGTTTGACACCCTGGGCAGGCAGAGGCCTCTCCCTGCAGCAGAAACTGCTCCATCCCCTGGGTTTCTCCGTCTCCATCCCAGAGGAGAGCAGCGGGCAGTGCCCTTGCTGAGGCCATAGTCCCTCCTCTTCCTCCTTCTCCTTTCCTTGTTCCATGGGCACGGGGAGCAGCCACCTTGGCCCTTCTTCCAGCCAGGACCTGCGCAGCTCTGCAGGGCCTGGAACTACCTGAACAGAGCAGACTGGGAGCTCTCCTGCTGGCCATGTAAGCCCCAGACCTCAGGCTGGGAGGCAAGAGGGGCAAAACCCTCCATTGCCTCTGTGCCCTCTCGCAGCCAGGTCAGATCAACCCCCGAATCGCGATGGAAAGTTTAACTTGGGGTGAGATGTTCAACACTTTCTTGTTTAAAAAAAATGCACTCTGGTTTTCAATCCTCTGCCTTCCGTCACACTGACAGTGCCTTGTAGTGTTGTATGAAGTCCGACTTACTACCTCTCTGATCCCATTTTTATTTTCTTGCAAAACAAATGCGTCCACTCTAGTTCCACCACGTTGTGCTGAAGGCGAAGTTAACTCTAAGGGCACTTGCTGCCTGTTAGTGGCCTGGCTCAGGGGAAAAGGGGATGGGACTGCTGGTGGGCGATGAGGGCAGCTGAGTCTGTGCTAGTAACTGAAGCAGCCGCAGCTGCTTCCACAGGCTCTGGGAGCAGCTACTGGATAAATCAGCAAGCTCCCGGGCACAAGTTTTGTGGACACATCCCAGGCGTAGCCTGGGAGTTGGCATAAGCCAAGGGCAGCTCGGGTGCAGCTGCCCTGCGTTGGAAGCAGCGAGAGTTGAACAGCAGCAGCGCAGACGTGGCCAGCGTGCAGTGAGTGTGCAGATGGCTCGAGAACACAGGGCTGCGAGGGGCTCTGTTCAAATGCAGGAGATGGTGCTCCATTCCCAATATACGACTTGCTGGAACAAGCACCCGTAATCCGAGGATGGCTGGATATCCATTTGTCAAAAAAAAAGAAAAAAGAAAAAAAGAAACAAGATGGCAAAAGCCCAAGGGCAAGCCCTGATTTATTAATAGAGCGTAAAAAATACTGTTTATGCACCACATGGGCTTTTGCTCTTGATTAGCCTACAAATAATTACACTGTAACTTACTTATTCATTTCATACTGGTACTTCATGAAGTAGACATAGTGGTTAAGAAACAGATGATGTGCTCCCTTTCGGAGGTTGAAATTCCAAAGGGAGGCAGGCAATTCATCATGTTTTGCTCTGAAGAAGAAAGCAGCCGTATCTGTGTTAATCACTGAAGGGGGCTGGAGTGCTACCCTGGTTCTTCCTTTCCTGATACTTGCGTTTGGGCATGTGCTGAGCTCATGTCTTGCTCATGACAGCTAAGTAGCATCAGCAACAATTTAGGCCATGGTAAATATTTCTGCTGCAAGGCAAGATTCTAATAACTATGGTAATTTTTAGAGAAACCTTATCTAGGATACAGCCTAGATGAAAGCCATTTGTCATTTTGGAGGCAGTTACGTAATCTTATGGGAGAAAATGAACAGCTCTTATTCTGTGCAGTAGCTGCTCCTTTCTATCTCAGGTCTACCAAAGAGGAGTTACAACCTTCCTCTTGGAGAACCTGCCTCTGTGTCCTGACCCTGTCTGCTAACTTGACCTCTTTTACATAAAGTAGCAAATCTTAAATCCCCATCTTTCCCAACCCTTGATTCCTGGACCTTATTTAAAAGCACTTTCTTTGCCATCAGGCTGCCTGTGGACTGGGCACGACCCAAATCCTCTTGTCTTTCCTTACCCTGTGTCAGGGCCCCTAGGCCGCATCCTGGAGGGCAGCGACGGGGGCCGTGGCGACTCGGAGGAAGGGACTGGGTGCTCCCTAGCCAACGTGCAGCTCCAGCCCCATCTCGTAGCCACTCACTCTGCGGTTCGTGCAGCCCTGGCCTGTGCCGGCCCGTGTGCCATGTTTCTGCAGGGCACCGCACGCCAAGAGCTCTTCCACACACCGTCCGCGTTCAGCCGGCTGCAGGGCTGGGGCTGCTGCTGCAGGACTTGGTTGTTACTGGCCAGTGGTATGGTAAAAAACAGGATAAGAGTACGTTTTAATTCCCTAAAGTAACACTGTTAAGACCTGATACTGCAACATGAGTGGCCTCTGTTTTGAATACCAGATGGGTTTCTTTGGAGGTCTCAAAATTTGACCAAAAAGGAGACAAAAAAGGCTCATGCCTTTCTGACTTCTTGTCGCACTCCAAAACCTCAAGTTTATTGCAGGCAATTGCAGGCCTGATCTTTGATCACATCTGTGAATGGTGGTGGGTTGCTCCTCACAAGCAGGTGGGACACCACTCAATCTGTGAAAGATCAAAGAAAGCACCGAAAAAAACCCTCATGCCTGGCTTCTCTTGGCAGATGCCAACAAGACATAACACCTAGTAGTACACCTGGAGAAAAAGCACTCGTTCTCTCTGGTGAATTATTCAACAGCTGAGACCATCTGGTTTTCCAGAATCACAGAATGGTTGAGGTTGGAAGGGACCTCTAGAGATCATCTAGTCCAACCCCCCTGCTCCAGCAGGGACACCCAGAGCACGTGGCACAGGGTGGCATCCAGGCGGGTTTGGAAGATCTCCAGAGAAGGAGACTCCACAACCTCTCTGGGCAGCCTGTTCCAGGGCTCTGGCACCCTCACAGGGAAGAAGTTGTTCCTCACATGGAGGTGGAACTTCCTGGGTTTCAACTTGTACCCATTACCCGTTGTCCTATCACTGGCCACCACCAAGAAGAGTTTGGCCCCATTCTCCCTACATTCTCTCCTCAGGTATTTGTCCCTGTTGATAAGATTCCCTCTCAATCTTCTCCAGGCTACACAGGCCCAGCTCACTTAGTCTTTCCTCAAACAATAGATGTTTCAGCCCCTTAATCATCTTCATGGTCGTGTGCTGGACCTTCTCTAGAAGCTCCACCTCCCTCTTGTACTGTGGAGCCCAGAACTGCACGCAATACTCCAGGCTCACCAGAGCTGAGTAGAGGGGCAGGATCCCCTCCCTCAACCTGCTGGCAATGCTCTTCCTGATGCAGACCAGGAGGCCATTGGCCTTCTTGGCCACAAGGACACATTGCTGCCTCATGGTTAACTTCTTGTCATCCAGGACTTCCAAATCCCTCTCTGTGGAGCTGCTTTCCAGCAGGTCAAGCCCTAATCTGTACTAGTTTGTCCAGAAACTTTCCTTTTGTGAGCTTCATTAGATATTCCCTTGCCCTTGGAAGGATCCTCAGGGTTATTTAGTAGGAAACTACTCCTGAGTTATTCCCACATGTTAAAACGATGTGACATTTAATTGCAGTCAGTGTTAGCCTGTTTTAAGGATGATGAAAATTCAGAGCTGACCTACATTTGGAGAGATTTTTATGGCTCTCGCTCTCTGCTCACTTGCATAGGCAGCAAGGGAAGAATAAAAGTATTTCCTTTCTCAAACAGAAGAAGAAGAAAATATTACCCTGTAATACCAATTTATTTTTCAATATTGGAAAAAATATCACAAGGCCTCTATAAAGCTATATACTTGATTGTTAACCCATTTTTACTTCTATATGATAGCAATACTGACCACATGAGAGCGCCTTCAACTTTACAGCTTAACTGGGAATTGGAAGATTTTCTGATTTAGGTCAGTGGCACAGTAATATTTAAATGCTATTTTTAAATTGCTAAGTGACTTTTCTATGGGCAGTTGACAAAATTAATTTTAAGTCAAGGAAAGAAGGAATTGGAAGGAATATGAAAAAACAATGCCTGCAACGCAAACTCACTAGTACTAAGGATCAAGGGGGAGAAAGTGAGGAGTTTGCTACCAAGAAATTGGTGCAGCAAAACCCAGCATGAATTGGAAAACTTGGGGAAATAGAACGTGCTTATTTTTACTGGAGATGGTTTGTCTGACAAGTGACTTCATTCAGAGAGCAACTTCCTTCTTCATCCCCTGAGTAAATACTATTTGGAAAGGATTATGTTTTACAGAGTATAGTTGGAGGAGCCAAAGGAAAAATACTGGATAAGGATGCAGAAGCGAAATGGAAAGTTCTCTAAAGCTAACTAGCCTGTGCTAAGAAATTTAAGCATAAGGAAATTACGCTGGTGTAAGCTAAGGCATGAAGCTGGTGCAGCTCTTCTAGCACAGTTCATTTTTGGTTTGCTTTATGCTGCTTTATGAGAGCTTAAGCTCTGCTGAAAGACACCTGCTGCGCAATAGAAGTGTTCAGCTGGGGAGCAGTGGCCGCACAGCCCCCACGGGGTAACTGTGCCCGTGTTCGGAAGCACCGTCGTTTCTGTCACTGCGATGACTCCCGCGAGGGCTTGCGTTGCTCTCCCCCTGCATCTCCAACCCAAGGTGATGCAGACTCATCTGGACGTGCTTCAGAGGTGAGTGCACGAAGCCTTCGGGCAGCGTCGCGGCGAAGCGAGCAAGGCTTCTCTGCGAGCGGCTGGCAGGTGAGGAGCGCGCGGCCTGGTGCTGCGCTGCGGGATCCGCAGGGCTTTCCCTTGGAATCGGTCCTGGAAGGCAGCCATGCTACGTGGTGCGCTCAACATCTGCCTGTTGTTAAATACTGGCTTTTTACAAGCTGAGCTCAGAAATTTCTGGACGTATTGTAATTTAGGTATTTGGTCCTCCTTCTGGACGTATCGTAATTTGGATATTTGTTCCTCTGAATGAAGGCAAAGACTGAGCAACCCCATCTTACTGTGGACGCTTATAAGCTCTGTGCAAAACAGATGCCAAGACATCTGCTTCAGGCCAGGGCTTCTCACCAGCCGGCTGCATGAGGATGCATGGGATACCCCCTCCCTCCCACGTGAAAAACGGCCAGGGAAAAGACGGCACAAGGCCAGAAGAGCTATCGAGTTTCCAAGGCAGAACTCCAGGACTGATGGAGATGGCTTACTTCAAATCCCAGCTGCAAACATTAACTGGAACAAATAAAAGTGTCAGCAAGCTGCCACCTCATCCATTAGAGCCACAGGCGCGAGATGAAGGGGAAGGAATTACCTGCACTTCCCGTGGACTCCCTGCGTCCCTCGCAGCCCATACGCTGCCCTCACATGCCCCTCTCCATCTGCGGTTACTTCCTCGCATTTTCCACCTCCTGCTGGAGGACAGCGAACTGGGGAAACTCAAGAGAAGCTTTTCCGCGTTCTCCAGAAGCTGCTTTTCCCTGGCTGTCTCAGCTGCCACACTGAGCTCGGCCCAGAGGTCTCTGCCCGGATTGGCTCTGAGCAACATTTGCAAGGGACCAATTTCTGGCGAAACGTGAAACTGGACGATGAGGGAAAGGCATGACAGGAACTAATTAGCCCCCAAAAGAAACCCTTGCCCAGGTGGTTTGTGGAAATGCAAGTCCAGGCTCAGGCCGCGACGACACTCGCAGTCCATGGTAGTGCAGAGTGGAGCTGCTGACAACACGAGCTTTGGAGTTCATGACTTCAAAGCTGACAAGAGGGAATTACGCTCATAAGAACCCGCCTCGGGCTTCAGTGCAGATGTGGGAAATTCCACAGGAGATTAAGGCCGGGAGCAGCAGTCAGGGACAAAGGGAGTATCTGCAAGCCTCCAGGGGAATTCTGAGTTGGGGCTCTCTGCAAACATTTAAGCTGAATTCGTGAGCTCCAGCAGAATTTTTGAGTCAACATTTCTTAGTTTTCTTCCTCACAGAAGGTTAGTCCAGTACTGCATTCATATATTTATATCGGGGAAATAAGTTCCACTGGATAGGAGATATATAGAAAATAGCACCAACTATGGTGCCAAACATTTTGTGCCATTACACTTTAAATGCTTTTAAACATATAGTAACCAAAAAAAAAAAAGTTTCAGATATAGAAACTAATATAGAAGATTCCTGGAAAATTGTTTTATTTTTCTATCTCCTCCCCAATTCCCTATACTTACAAGCTGTTAATACCGATCTAATTAGGAAGTGCATCTGAAGAGAAAACATTCTGAATTATTTCAGCCCACTACCTCCTTACACAGCATGCGGACAGACAACAAGATTACCTAGATGGGAAAGTAAAAGGAAAATAAATGCAAATTTGATATATGTAGGTGATGGACTGAGTAGCCAGTAGAAAGAACATGAGCTATTGGTTTAAAGTGCATAAACTTCAGGTTCACTTACACATGCCTAAATTTAGCTTGCACTCTCTGAAAGAATAAAACAGACTTGTTGATTAAACCTCCAAAAGCTATTATTTTTTTAAGAGGCTTATTTTGCTACCATAATTTTACTATCAAAGTGCCTTCCCTTCCACCCTACTGCTCCTTTTGGCCATTACTCCTTTGCTATCTGTCATTAACTAAGGAACAGTGACTGGATTTTTAGTAACAACAATATAGCACAATTCAAAACTCTGATTAAAGACTGATCCACTGGACAAAGCTGTTGCATCTCTTCTTTATTTCCACTATGGGCTCAAACTAAGAACAGATATGAAGCTTAAAAGATTTTTTCCTGCTTCCAATTTGCATTAGTTCTGCATGAACAGTGCAAGAAAGGAGTTTATCTGAACTCTGGTACAACTGGAAATTAGAAGGCCAAATACTATGAAATGTGTTATGTGGACACTGCCCGAGGGAAGGATTCAGTAAAGATAAGTAGACTTTTTATAAAAAGATTTATTAAAAATAAGTTCTTTAAGGAGAAAAAGTGACATCTATATACATTAACTTGTCAAACTCTGTGGGGCTTATAATACAGTGTATTCCAGACTGAACAAGAGAGATTTACTTTGTTGTTTTTCTTTCAAAATATTCATCATGCTTATTAGAACTTAACAGCATGTGGAAAGAGAAGAACATCACCACACAGCCAAAGAGCACCAACTCCAAGGAAAACCTTCGATCTGAGGAACAGTTGCAAAGAGGAAGCTTAGTGATGAGCACAGTGCAAGTGTTAACTCTAAATACAGACAAAAAACATTAGCAATGCAGCCTGCAGTGCCTACAGCTTAACTGAAGGCAAGCTTCTGATGATTTCTTCATTTCTGCTGTTTATGAGCAGATCTTAGCAAGCAAGTGGCTTTCTGTTCTCCAAAGTTAGAAGACTTTGGGGGACCACAAAATACTGCCAAAAAAGGCAGTAAACAAATGCATCTTTTCCAGCTCCATTGCTAGCTATCAAAGATTTGTCCTTTGAATTACAGCATGTAATTATACAACCACTGGTTTTATCCTTTAACTCTACACACACCTGACACCCAAAACCACAAAAAAAAATTCTTAAAATTATTTTATTTTACAAAAGTATTTTGCACAAAAGAAGAGTGACATGACAAACTAACACTTGATGCTGCATGCTTCACTGACCTCAGCCTTTCACACCCAGGAGGTCATACTTAGATCTATATTTTTTCCAGTCCATTTTTCTGTCACGAAGATCTCCTGTGTTGGGGAGGATATATACAGCTCACTGAGAACAGCTGTATGACAAATGTCTACCCATCCTTAGAAGAGAATTCCCTCAAATCTCAGATGTCAGCCAGACGTACAACCTCAGCTCTGTAGCACCCTCTTTAGTCCCACAGTTTAATAAGGCCATCCCAGCCGCACGTAATGACTTTGGAGGTTTCATGCGGGTGCCAGACAGCACCAATGCAGACTTTATCATGGGCTTTCACCCTGCTGTAGAGTTTTGTTGTCTTCCAGTCCCAGATGTTAAGCTTTCCATCTGCATCTCCGGATATCACATAGCTGTATTCAAAAGGATTAGAAAAAAAGCTCTTGTTATCAAGTGCTCTCGTTATCACTGTATACTGAGCAGGAGAAAAGTACTTCCCCCAGTGAGCTTCCCATGGGACTGTCCAAAATCATTCCTGCCTGGGAAGGAGCACTGTGCTGCGCTCTGAGCAGTGCCTGTTCCGCACAGGGCGGCTCACGGACCGCCAGGTGCACGTGCTGAGCACCACGACTGCACCAGGCATAGCTGGAACTGCACTGAATCCGTGAGGAAAGGAGGGAGTGCCAGGAGCCTCTCTCACATCTACAGACACTCCACTCCTTCCTCCCCCTTCGCTGAGGTCATTCTCCGGTTTTCAAAGTAAAGAAAGCTTTATACAGCAGGAAAGCTGCAGGGAAACTGTTCCCGAGCAAACAGCGCAGGGAGGACGCTGCACTCAGGACAGATGAGGGTGCCACAAGAGACACGGGCAGCTCTGGCACATGGCTATTCCGGACACTGCTGGAATGCAGCCTTGGAAGCCGCCCCTGCCCCGCACGCAAGGGCAGAGCAGGGAAGAACAGAAAGGCTCTCCTGCTGCACTGACACTGGGCCGAGCAGGGGAGCCTCTGCAGGGCTTAGCACAGCAAGAGAGGGGGAATTTGGATCGTGTTGATTCTTTTCTGCAATACTGCTCTGAGTAAGAGCCGAACTGCTCAGTCCTATCAAACGACACGAGCCCTCTGCCTTCTGCTGCTTCCCTGCACACGTGTCTGATCTGACCCTGTGAGAAGGCAGCGCAGCAGCGGGTGCTGCAGAGGTTTCAGAAATGAACCCAGTGTCTAAGGTGAAGCTCAGTCCCACAGAACTCACCTCATGTCAGGTGAAAAATCCACTTGACAGGCATAGCCAGCTACCATGTGACCTTTGAAGATTTTCTTCTTGTTTAATCTGAATCTGTTCTGAGCTCCGAAAATCAGAATTTGGTTGTCCATCGACTGACAAGCCAGCCATTTCCCTAAAAAGGGTAGCAAACAAAGATGGGTATTGAATGCTGCATCTGAAAAAACAAGCTTCACTGTAAAGTTTTAAAGAGGCTCCAGAATCATCTTTTTTTTTTCTTTAAATATTAAAATTAGTTCTACTGTTGGAAGTAAGATGCTTACACTGGAAAGCAAATACAATTTCATATGAAATGGTTAGCTGTGCAGCAGTTGGTGAGTCACTGCAAGTGACAGTTTAATAACACTGAAGCTATTTAACTGACACTGAAACTATTTAATTTGGGCCAAAACAGCTACAGGGAGAGGGTACAAAGGGCTGTCTGGGGCAGCTGATTTACTGAGCCACGGAGACGCAGCGGAGGCTCCCATGGAGCAGCTCGGGAATGTCACAAGGAGCCACGTGGAGACCTCCAGCTCCAGCGCAGCCCCTTGCAGGCTGCCTGGCCCCACAGCCAGCGGCGCGAAGTCTAAAGCACTGCCATAGCTTCAGCTGTTAGACCAGCACTGGAACATGGAAACACTCCTGTGCCTCCAGCTTGATTGCAGCTCTTACAAGACTCCTGGGTAGGTAGCAGGACTAATCTGATACACAGTCTGATTAACTTGTGCTTTAATTAGACAGCTTGTCTGCCCATCATTTTCTTTCCTTAACAGTAACAAAATAAAATCAACTAAACAACCCTCCCTGTAATTCTCAGCCTCTTTTCTCCAATAATGACCTTTTCCTCCTGATCTCTCCCAAACGGGCTGCCACCAACTTTGAATGCTCTTAGCTAAGCTGAACTCTGAACTCACTAGGCTTCATTCAATACTGGACTGTGCCATCTTTTTTGCTGTCTAATTTAAGTTATTGACTACTGTTTTGTTAAGAGCATACACCGTTCTGTACAGAAGCACGTGGAACAAGTACGTAAGACAAGTACTGTCTAATCCTTCATCCTCAGAACAGTAATTTGGTTTTAGCTATGCAAACCGAGTTGCTAACAGGCTGTGCGCACCCACAGTACTGCTCATCCCCTAAAAAAGGCTAGCCAAGAGGGAAGAAATGCACGGCGCTCTCATTAAACACAGCAAGTCTCCAGCAGAAAACAGATGGGACTGAGATACTCAGCAGAAGATGCTGCAGGAGGCTCTGTCGCAGGCAGGACACAGACCCACACACTGGGGCACCCTGGGCGCGCAGGGCCCAGGCGCCTGCCCCTCTCCAGCCCAGCCTGGCTGGGCTCCTGCGTTAACATCCGAACAGCTTCACATCCCTCCTGGGTCAGGATGCAGTCAGCACCACAGCGGGCCGGGTCCTACTGCATTCCCAGCACCCAGAACCATCCCCTGTTCCCCCAGGCCACGAGCCACCTGCAAAGGAAACCCTGCAAGTACCCCCCAAAATAGCTCTATTGCCCAGATCGTTTTGCTGCTTTTCCGCATAGTATCATAAGCAAGTGAAGGAGGCAAGACAAAATAACCTGTTGCCTCTCTAAAAAGAAAGGGGAGAGAAAATGGCACCCGTGCCAACCAGTATCACTGTTGCAAAAATAAAAATCAAATGGAAAAATTTAAATGGCATTTTTAAGTGGCAAATTTTAAAGAAATCCAGTAAAGAGGGGGGAAAAAAGGTCACTAAACAAACCACCTGATCTGCAAGAGCCCATCCTGTGCTCGCAGCCTGAGCTTGCAGCAACCGGCTCAGAGCAATTCAGCACCCATGAAAGTGGGATCTCTGCACGCACCAACTGCTGAGGAAAGGAGAGCAAAATCCCCCGTGGAGAAGCTGCGATGATGCCTGAGATCCCACCTACCAGCTCCGGCCAAGTCAGAGTGTTTACAAAACATGCCCCTAAATTCCTCCGCACAGTTGGAACTAAGCAATTAGACCAGCTTTAATTACTGGCTTTTAAGGGAGTACTTGGGTCATAATTATTTTGAAGGCTGCTTTGTTTCTCTAGGATAGTGAAAAATATTGCACATTTAAACATGTCAATAGGTACAATAACCAAAGTGACAAATTTCCAAACAAATTATTTTCCTTATAAAAATAATAATAATAAAAAAATTCAAGGCAGAACAACGGAGCTCTTTCTTCAGGGCACAGCAAGCTCAGGACATATTTTTTCTGTTCGAAGGAAAACTGCTACTGGGACAATCAGGCTGCAATGTTCCCAACCCAGAGCCTTTCTGCCTTTCCCGTTGTTCCCTGCAGAGTGACTGAACCCACCCGCTCTGCTATTTATTTCAGACCTCCACGCAACGCTCCCAAACACAGATGATCCAAACTTGCGGAAACGAGAGGCCTGCGCGAGCGAGATGCTCCCGCTCGCCACGGAGGGGACATCCCCAGCAAACACGGCGCGCTAGGGGTTTCGCTTCGAGGAGTCGAGTCAATCCTTGGGGCTAATTCCAAAGCAGTGGGTAGGGGATCATCTTGGAGTGACGCGTGGGGACAGCACCACACGTGCAGCCCGAGCCCAGGGCCCTAGGCCTGCGTCGCTACCTCAGCAGTGACAGCAGCGGATCACAGACACACGGCGGGTTTTGCTGTCTGCTTGGGTAACACTCAAGTACCACAGATTGGAGGCTCTTGTCTAGATTAAGGGAGAAAAAAAGAGCCCTGGGAAGGAACTCATTAGTCATAGAGCTGTCAAACTAACATCCATAACGTGCAAAAGCTTTTCCTACGTGAAGGGCAAAATTAAATGAAAGCTTAAAAGATATGGGACTGTTCTTTCAAAAAAGGGCAGGAAAGTCTTAAGCCCCAGATGCTCATGGAAAAAAAAGTTTCAGAAGTAAAAGATTCTTGTTTGCTTCCCAAATAAGTTAATATTGAAAGCTGTTTAGAACGGTGTTTCTTAGGAGTTCTTGGATAGACTTTCACTTTTCTGTCATCTGTTTTGTTTCTACTGTGGATATCAACAATGTGTCAAAAAAAATTAAACACATACAAAAAAACCCACCCTACCAGAAAATGCCGCTACTCTGAAATACTGGTCTAATACTATATAACACTATACATATCCTAGTTCAGAGCATTCAAAACTACTAGTGCACACCCATTAGCATAACGTCACACAGATGGTGCTCTGAAAGGTTAATTTAGGGCTAGTAGGTCTGGGGGAAAAGGGGAGACAGCAGAGCTCACTAATAGACTGCTGGGTGCTTCAGGCTGACAGGGCTGTGTCTTACACTTTCCTCAGAGGAAAACGGAATCTATGGAGTCTCTCGAGCAAAGCCAAAATAGGTTGGATAGTATTCAGCAACAAGATAGGAAGCAACTAGTTTTTAAAATTAAAATTTCCAGAGGAATGACTGTGAAAGAGATAGCAGTGAGATACTGATAAGTTGTTAATAATTAAGGCTAATAATAAATGCAGCCTGAAGCCCATAAAAAATTTACACCAGTAAACCTGGGGCTACTTAAGGCATTTTACTTTGCATTCAGGAGAATTAAGTTTTACAAACATTAAAAGCAATTTTTAAATCCTGCACCACAGTGGGGCAATAAGCCAGTGAAAATAATTCCTTCTTAGACAGTAAGAATTATTTCGAAGTGATTAAAAAGTATTCTAATTAGACTTTGCAAGGGACACCTCATTTTACTGCACAAAAATACTTTTAAAAACTAGAATGGTTCCTAGTTTTAAAAACTAGGAACACCATACTAGACCAAAACTCAGGGTTTTTTTTTGGAATATACGGCCAGCTTTAGCAACAAAAACATCTGTGATTGTTTTGGTTCTTCACTTGTGATTGTTCACAGTTCATTTGTGAAAGAATAATTCTACTGCATATGCAATTACATATAAATTTGGAAAATTTAAATTCAGCCCTTCCTCAGCAAGCTAGAACTCAGTACTCCTCACTTTCTTATGTGCTACAGCTACTTTTACATATAAACTGCTATCTTCCTCTCATTTTTCTCATAATACACTTTAACTTAAAATTCAAAATTTTAAACTTACCATTCCCAGACTCTTAAACTCTTGTCATCGGATGTACTCACAAACCGTCTATTTTCATCCACGAACACAATGGTGTTGACAGCTCCCAAATGCCTATCGTATTCCTGCACAATCTCACCACTCCGAATATCCCACTACAAATAAAAAGCAGTTCAGAGCAAGACATTGGCTTTTACTAAATCTCAGAATCCTATTATTTCAAGTTTTAAAGCGATTCCTGGTGGGAAAGCAAATAGTCTAGCAACAGTTTTTGTGAATAAAATAAAATAAAATAAAATAAAATAAAATAAAATAAAATAAAATAAAATAAAATAAAATAAAATAAAATGGTGGGGGACAAGATGATTCTGTAACTTGTGGAGACATACTACTTCGAGCTTAAAATTCAAGCCAAACTAAAAATTTATTGCTTGAAAATAGAAATTGGGAGTAGGGGATGCTAAGTAGAGGCATACCTGCACAATTTTCTTATCTGACATTCCTGCAACAAAGAGATTTTGCTTATCTTCATCAGGGTTGAATTTGACACAGTAAGGAACCTTCCTGTTTGTGAATCTTGATATACACTGCCCTGAAAGACAGAAGTCAGAGCGGGTCAGCCTGGAAGGTCTGTGAGCTGGTGAATTTACTGCAGATACTGCTAACACATTCATTTCTGTTTAGTTCACTTGGAACAGAAAATACTTGCTTTAAACCCTCTGATAGAACTAAAAAACTTAAAAACTTTAAATTGCCCATCTTTCACATGTTTGCATCTGTATCTGTATATGAAGCACCACCTCATTAGGAGCAGAGTTGTTACTGACAGGAGACACAAACTCCTCATTCCTAAGCCTAGAAGCAGGTAGCAATAATCCAGCTGCAAACCAAAATACTGACCTCCTCTCCTGGCCTCTGCCATAAGTACCCTCATTACAAGTTTTCCATAACCCGTACAAGCTTCCAGAAACCTGTTTCAGTCCAAAAGCTCAATGCATTTCACAGGTATCTAGATAACCGAGTTCTGACTCAAGGCTGGAGAATCTGACCTATATATTTCTGTCTGAGTGGTACCACTGATAGCATCTTTTCCAAACACGGGAGCTTCTTATCTTCTTTCGAAAGCACCTATTTTAACCAATACTGACAGCGTTTACCCTGAATCTTATTTTAAAAAAAATTATTATTATTAAAGAAACTAATTGGAACAGAACATTCTTTGGTAGCTCTGTGAAAACACCAAATCTATCTGCTGCTCCCTCTACCAGCAGTTCAATTTCCACTTCTCTTTTTCAGAGTGGTTTTTCAAGTTCAGGTTAACTGAAAGATCATGGAAATAATGGGCTGAAGGTTTTGGCCAATATCTCATTTTCCCTGGAGAATTTGAGCTCTTTATGGTAAGGAGAAGTCTTCTCTGACTGTTCCTAGGCTGCAAAAGAAAAATTTCCACATGTATCCATTTGCCAAGATAAAGATATAATCTATTTAATTAGAAATTCCCTACAGTCCCCTATCTGTTGTTCTCTTGGAGGAGAGAGCAGAACAGATACAAAACAACTATGAGCAAACTTTGCTTAATGCATTCCTGGAAGTTGTGGAAAGGTGATAGAGAAGAGCATGACCTAAAAGGCTATTGGAAAAGCTGGTAAAATGTAATCCGCTCGTGATAGTAACAGCAGAACAGTATTAGTGGAGCAAAATACCAGTGACTGATCCAACACCACCTAGAAGCATTCTGAAAAGAGTTAATTTGCAAAATGGTCAAAACATAGTGCACCCAATCTATATTGAGGTAGTAGCACATCTGTCATTGCTGCTGGCCTGAAATTATTTTGCTATTCCATAAGTGCTGTGTCTTTTTGAGTCTGTGTCTGCATGAGTAAATCAAGAAGCAGCCAGCAAGAGCGTGAGACCCAGAACTTGGCCTCCTCTCCTGCTTCGCTGCCACAAGGGCAGTGACGGGGCTTTGGCCTGGACAAACCTCCACTCTTCCCAACACATTCCCGGGCACGGCTCGAGACTTCGCACCAGGCAGGCACACTGGCACATCTGCAGTTTAGACAGGGTCACCTTTTAGACATCAAGCTCACTCAACTGACATTGGTGTGGCCAGCCCGTGCTAGCTGGCCCCAGGCTCCCAGTAAGTCAGAGAAGACTTTCTACAAAAACTTCAAAGTTACAAAGCTAGAAAACTTTTAGATGAAGAACATTTATAAAGCCATTTCGCACAAGATAAGCATATTGCTGCTGCTAAGTCCTGTGTATGTACAAACAGGGAGTGTCTGTAAGGCTGCAGGAAGCAAACAGTTACTAAAGTACTGGCTATTTTGAAAATACTTTTCTTGGATGAAAATACACTTGAAAAATACACTTGTGAAAATAAAATTTCTCCACAAGAAAGTGTCTTCCATGGAAAAAAATGTAAGCGAAGAAAAATTTTTGGACAGATGTGTAAACATAGAACATACAGTTCAAAATTATGAGGTGAGGAGCTGCTTACTGACAAGTCTAAAAGCAAAAATAATTTAACATGGACTATAATTTTATACACAAGGCAAATACACATGAGAAAAAGGCTGAAGTGATCTTTACTTTTGAATTATTATGGATGGTGTAACAGCAGGACTAAGGAAATGCATTTCAATCAATGGGTTATTTTAAAATACTTTCAACAGCTCTGCTTGTCACTTGACAAGAGTCATTCAGCATTTAGTGAACATATACAAGTCCCTTGCGGGAAAGAGCTGTGCTCTAGCACTTCCCAAACCTGCTACTTTTCCCTAACAATGCAACATTTTAAGGGTTGTGTAATTTAATAACAGATTTATTAAGAGTAATTATTATTCTTCCAGATTATGCGTATTTAGGTCAAAAGTTTGATTTAAATGAAAACATGCAGGTAACTAGTTTCATAAAGTTTAACTTGTCTTTTTACTCAAAATTGTTCTAGGATTACAAAAAGCTGAAACAGACTTTTCAAATAAATAGAAATATGAAGTATTGCTAATTGTGTCAATTGCATCATAGGGAGGCATCACTGATGGATATTTAGGGAAAACAAACAAACAAAAAAAAACCAAACCACACACAGCATCCCTGTAATGAAAGCTTGAACACTGAATGACAAGAGGTTAAGGATACAACTTGACAGGCTGATAGCAGGTCTTGGCACTGAGTTTTAACCAGTGCCAAATAACTGTGCACAGATGCAAGCCTACCTGTCTCGGTGTCCCAGAGTTTAATGTAGCGGTCGTAGGCTGCACTAAGAAAGCGAGTGCCAGCATTATTAAAGGAGATGTCTCGAACAGCTTTACCGTGCCCTACAGGACAGAAAAATCAGGATGATAAAGTCACACCCATACACCAAGAATTAAGGTTTCTGGAAAACATTATTCAACTTAAGAGACAGACTTATTCAAGTTAAGAGACAGATTACAGCCTTTAGCAAATTTCTGGAGAACTAGAAAAAGGTTTACAGAAATTCTTCATAAGTAAACCCAGTTCCAGCAGCTCTGCCCAACACGTTAACCAGCGTCCCACACCTCCGAAGCATGGAGAGAGAAACAGCAGTGCTGCACAGAATGAAGTGCGGTGCATCATGCACAAATTGATATGCAAGCAAAATTTAAGGTACTGTTGGACTTGAAGATTGCTCCAGCTGCCATTAAAAGCAGCAATAAAAGTTTAAAACACCGTACTAAATGTTAACATCTGAAGGCAAGAAAAAAAAAGAGAAACAAACATTACAGGAGATTTCTGAGAAGACATATTTAAAATGAAACATCAGGTACAAAATACGGAAAATACTAAAGAGTTCTTTCATCTCATGTTAACCTTGCTACCCCCAAATTCTTGAGCTTTTGCAACAAAAAATGGAAGGACATTTTGAGAAAAACAGAACAGTCTACTGAGACAGTTTTTTTTTTTTTAAGCCATCATTTTTTTCCATACTGTTGTCATTAGAAATTTTAGGTAAAAAGACTTTGTTGTTATTCAACATAGAGTCTCTCAAATACTGCTCTAGAAACATTGCCATTTTAAAAGGAGAATCAGATGCTTTTGCTCTGCAGTGAAGGCTCCTAAGCTCATACTCATCTTTCCCAACCATCTGCAAAAAGCATCTGTTATATGATCAGAGACTGTACCTGAACTTCAAAAGACCCCTTTGCAAGAGAAACTCAGCCAGCCCAGAAAAGACCACCTAGCTAAACAGTGAGATCAATAGACCATGAGATGCCCTCGCTGCACGAATACTGTTGTTTTCCACAGGAGGATCATTCACTTTCACGTGTGACTTCTTAAGGACATGGGAAAGGGAAAGGAGTCTTGTATAAAGCATTGACTAATACAGTACACTAACATTTTAAGAGTCTTAAAGTCTTACTCTTCTACCATTAAGTTACTTGCAACAATGACAAAGGTTCACTAAAACCTTGCAGCATTTTGATTCTCATTGCCCAGATCATACTGGACAACATTTGTCAGATGCCTACATCAGATTTGCCTCAAACGCCTCTGTACGACAAAAATCATAAACTAATCCAATTCATATTCATCCATGAAGTTGTTTTAAATAACAATTGTTTAAACATAAGTTGTTTAAATATAAATTAACAGCTCGGCTATTAAAAAAAAAATATTACCAATAAATGTTCGTAGACATCTTCGATCACCATACACCTCCCATAGCTAGGAAGAAGAAAAAAAAAGAAAAATGATGGGAAAGAAGAGGCAATAATTGTAAAATAATGACAATGAAATTAAGTGCAATCATGACAACATCACTTAAACAGTGATTAATAACAACTAAGGTGCATATTCACAAGAGTGCTGTGTCACCTTATGAACAGAAAGCCCTATAAAAGTAAAAAGATCAGACCAAATTTCAACTCTGAGGCCCATAAGGTATTTATTTTGCTTGTTAACCCCTCACAGTTGTTCTTTTTTAATATATATAAAATATTTATGTAGTACATGTAGTATATATATACATATACAATATAATCTTATTTTAGTTCAACGTACCTTACTTCATAAAAGCAATCTGCATCTACTGAAGCATTTGTGAACTCCAAAACTAGGTTTTATAACAAATGAATTATTACACAAGCAAAGGCAATAACCTTAGGGACTTGTGACCTTCTAAATGCTATTACTAAATGATTAATGCTATTCTAACACCCACAGTCTTGGACATTATTTCTGTCTTTGTTCCAAAAAACTTACAGTCTAAAGATAAGAAAATCAAGCAAGAAAATAAAATCCAACACAAACAGAAAGCTACGTGGTAGAAGCATGCACTAAAATTCTTAAATGTTCTAAACGCAATGTCTGTATTAAAAATGTACATAAAATTATGAAAATAACTCACCTTAATTTTGCAATCCATAGAGCAAGACAACATTATGTGCCCAGAGAGAGGAAACAATCTAACTGCACTGACACCCTGTAGATAAGAACATAATTAAACAGTGAGAGGAACAGCTAGATCTTTGATTTTCCTCATTTCACCACCTCCTTTATTCTTTTGGATAAAGAAACCCTATAGCATATCTTCATAAAATGCATAGATAGCATATCTGAAAAACAAACAACCTACCCACATTCCATTTTAAAAACAGTGCTGCATTTTGAACTGATTCCCTTCAACAGCTGTAATAAACCTTCCTTCATTACCCACATCATTACCGTAGCAACAACACAAAGATACACAAATTGTGGGTTAGGGTGATGCTTTGACCAAATGTCAACATTACAGAAATCTCTCTCCTGAGAACTTTAGCTCTTTGCAGTAAACCCTTTTCTGAATAATTTGTGTTTTGTTTTTTCAAATATAAATTCCAATGCTGCAGCAGTACTACTGGGGCATCTAAACAGTCCCTGGGGCCACATCCAATTCAGACTTACCCAGTGACAGTAGCTTTACAGATTCTGAACCTGCAAAGACTACAGTATATCTTTTTAGTCAGAAGAGTTACAACATTCCTGAAATTAATGAGTGCACTATTCTTCCAGTTAAAAGAGAAACAAAAATAAAACTAATCCAAAACAAATGCTCTAAATGCAGGACCTTGTTTCTGTCAGATTGTTTTAGGGCTGGTCTTTCTTTCCTTTCTAAACTACTCCTACCTGACCCAAGAAACTCCTTCAACGACATTTGTGTCGGAAGTTTCTGTATATCAAACTTTTTCAGATGGCCTAGGCAAGAAAGTTTTTCTACAGGAAAATATCTCTAGACAGCTCTACCTCCTACCTATATTATTAGTAAGTTATAGGTGCCGAACTCGGACTTCCCATCTGTATTTCAGGTATTCTTGAACG